CTTATTATTGCCGCAAATCGCAAGTAAACTCTTAGTGAATAAATATCTTTGTATATATTTATCGAATCATGTAATTGTCACATGGATTGCATTGTGTAATTTTAGGCTTTTTTTTGTACTGTTTGTTGTTGAGTAATGATAATGTTAGATGTATAATCTGAGATGATTTGCTTATTAATTTTTTTTCACATTATGGATGTTTTAATATTGGTGTAGCTTAAACCGTAGCTACGTGAACCGATGTTAGTTAACAGGTTAGTACTTTTGTTAATGGTTTCTGCTATCAGTGCTTCAAGGCTGGGGCAAAACATCAATAATGTGTAAAATTTAAGAATGTCACAAAATGCCCCCTATTTTTGTATTTGTTTTCTTTCTATATAAAAATTTTTATATGCTCACTTTCGACTTGAAAGATGAACACTGAAGTTATTTTTTGAGTACTTTTTTCTCATTTAATTTTGCTACTCATAAATAATTAAAAACAACTTGCCCTTTTTTATTATATATATATATATATATATGTATGTATATGGACATACGTTAGGCGTTGATGCACAATTGCTTTGATAGGATTTCCCCTTCTTGCTCTTATCAGATTCTACTATTGATATAGAATGACAAGGAAATAATAGTAATGTTTTGCCAAATAGAAGGTTTTTGTGGATGCGTGGAAATTATAGAATTATTTCACCATATGCAACGCTTATATATGAATGCATAAGTAAAAACACACATATATATATATATATATATATATATATATGTATATATTTGTTTATTATACTGAATATTTTTCCATTACACTCGTAAATAATGTATTTATGCTCTATGATATTTCACTGACAGCAGTAGGGTAATCCAAAATAGGAAGTTATGTTGGGAAAAGTATGTCAAGAAGGTTAATTTTGTGGGAATTAAAAAACAAACGATATATATTGTGAAAAGCTTTATTATCCATTGCATCCTGAGTATGTGATAAATCTTACCCTGTTAGTTTGTCGTTAGATGACACATTGACAATCAATTGCCATTGTTATTATTATTATCATTATTCTGATAATCCCTTAATTCTAGCGAATAACAACAACAAAAAGAACAAGGCATGCTTGAAAAAGTAAGTTTCCATGATAACTTCTATTTCTTTCAGAATATATCTCAAGTATATCACTGAATTAATCAATTCTCTTCTTTTAATACTAACTTTTTTTTTTACCATAGGGGTTTCCTAGAGGTCTTAAGTCCTCCTTCCGGTGACTAACAGTTCTTTTATGCGACTTGATTTCGACAAAGTATATTCATTTTTAGGACGTAAATCTTTTTGTTACTTTAAACCACAGTTTTTTTTTTATATTGGTATTATAACGAGGCTTTGAATCAGAAGTGACAGTATCAGGGAGAATTTAACGAAGTTCGTTCTTTCTTTTCACTGAGTTCTACTCTATAATTCAACTCCATTGAAAACAATGTCGGATAAAAGGTAATAGAAAGTGTGTATAATAATGAATTCGAAGGTTCTCCCTGT